TAAAAAAATAATTGACCAGCCATTCTGATGTCAGGATGGCGGGCCGCCACTTTGTTCAGCATGAAAGGAGCAGATTTTCCAGAAGTATGTGTTACCAGTAATTGCTATTTGCTACTTTCACGAATTAAAGGTATACGCTTCTTATCTACATTAGTTAATTTGAAAATTTTACGAAAAAGTGCCTGATTAAATTAAAAAAGCAAAAGTTTTTAGCACTTTATTGCCATAATACAAAGGGCAGGCGTTGACACTTCCTGACGTCACAATGGCTGGTCAACTATTTTTTTTAATTTCTCAGAATATATCAAAGGTAGCAAATAGGAAGCAATTCTTGAATATACCAGCCATCCTGACGGTCACAAACGCTACGTAGCCAAGTATGAGAAAGAATGAGAACAGCAATAATTAATGCCACCCAAATTCGGCGGCCAGCATTTAGGATACTTAATGTGCCGCTTTAATGCGCTTATTAGACATCGGAGCGTACCATATGCGATATATTGTTCAGCAATTAAGGGTTTTCTAAATTATCTCTATGTCGTTTTCTCTCAGCATTAGTTTAAGAGTTACTATATCGCGAACACATTTAGCTAAAAACATATTTTAATTAAATATTTTAACAATATGACAATATGTCACAAGGACACTTGTGACATGTTTTAAAATACTCTTAAAGAAGCCCATTTACTGGTAAATATTTTGGCCACCGAATGTATAAAATTGCAAAAAGGTTTTGGAACTACACCATTACGCCAGAGCATAACTTGTCCTTTGTGGACTAGCATGTTTTCCAGTAAATGGGGCACCTTCTCTAATAAATGTACCCGTATACCGGCTATATTATCCATAATTGGTTCGAAATTTAGCCTATAAAAATAAATACATACGTATGAAATATTCTTATTATGTATATTTTCTTTAAGAATAGATACTTATATCGAATAGTAAAAGTGTTAATTTCTGATAATATTATCGATTTGTTAAAATATCTACACGTGTGTATTATTTTCCATTCCTCCGAATTATTTTCATTATACATAATACGTCTTTCGTTTAATTAATTTCTATACTATAAGGGTCAAGTCACATTGAAAGAGCAGAGGCGTGCCGCAGCATGAAGAGCTGGCACGGTGCCTCTTTGAACTAGTCGCTACAAATCTATGACATCATACATTGTATAACTATCTTCTAATCAAAGAAATTCAAATCACTTTGAATTTCTTTGATTAGAAGATAAGATCCAAAATGATAGGTAATAGTTTGGATCAAAAATGCTTCTCCGGCCGCTGCTCTTTCAGTGTGATTTGACCCTTAGACATATCATATGCGCTCCGACGCCACGCCGCGCGCCGTTATAATTGAACTCGACCGGCGCAAAATCGGCGTGGCGAAAACTTGTTTCATTTTAATGAATATCAGCTTCTTTGTTAATTATTTATATTACAATTCAATTCAAACATCTTTGCGACATTGCGTCCATACTAGATTTAAATTAAGAGTTTATTTTTGTGAGAATTTAATTTGAAATTTGCTATGAGCTACTCGGTGAAGATAAACATCGTGAGGAAACCTGCACGTCAAATGATCAGCCATTCTGATATCAGAATGGCTGATCAACTATTTTTTTAAATTTCTCAGAATATATTAAAGGTAGCAATTATTTAGAAAAGGTAGCAATTTTTGAATATACACTCATTGCCAGATGCCACAGGCGACCAGTCATCCTGACGGTCACCGAGCATTCGTCTGTAATGTAATATTCAAGATTTGATTAGGTTCGTGCGAGTGTCTTTAAGTGCCCGCGAGAGCCCGAGAGACCCAGATGTGCCCGCGAGATAGGAGTGCCGTTGCGTGCCCGCGAGTGCCTTTGAGTGCCCGCGAGGCGAATGCTCCCGGTGAAGGACGCTACC